TCTTCTGGTAATGTTAATCGTTATCTTTCATTTTCTTAATTTTTGTTGTTTTATTTTTTCCTCTCCTTTTCTTTTTCTCATTCTCTCACACTCAATAATACACTGCATCTTAGTGTATTTATTGCCTTGCTTGAGGTGAAATGATTGAAAACACATGAAATAGGGTAAGAATGTTGTAGTTGTAAAAACACTGGAACAAAAAAGGCAATATTTATGATGTGAAAAACAATACAAATGCAGAAGAATACGTTCCTAAAATATGACATAAATATGTACAAGAAAATAAAAAATGTAAACATAAAAAAATAAAAATTTGAATTGCTTTACAAAATTGATTTATTTTGAAAAGAGATTAGAATCATCCAGAACTTATGGTTGTCAACAAAAACAAGAGGCCAATGTATGAATTACAAATTGGAGATGCCAAAAATAAACAAGTATGAAAATTTAAGTATCTAGGAAGTTGTCATATAGGACATAAATGAATTGAATTGTCCATTTATGTAAATAAGCGAAGTTAAGCAGAGTTAGAATTAGGTCAGTTGCTAAGTGTATCTGTATGTAGTAAATCTTCTATTTCATTACTTATCTATGAGTTTGTCTTCCGTATTTATTTCCCTCTATTATTTTGAAAACACAAGATACAACAGAAGTATTATAACAGAGACACAAAAATATCTTATAAAAGCTAAGCGAAGTATAAAGAAATAGGAAAATCTTGTTAGAAACAAAAAATATTGGACTGTTACAATAATATCAGTCCTACATGGAATGAATGCTGGACAATCTCATCAGAGATGAAGAAGTGACTTGAGTCAGAAGAGACTCGAGAAATTTTGATCTACAGAAGGATGCTGAGAATACCATGGACTGAATATGTGAGCAATGACCAAGTTTTAGAGAAAATGGAAACAAAAAGGATACTTATTTGTAGCACCAGAAAGAGAGAATTGAAATTTCTAGGGCACATAATGAGGAAAGAGAGCTTAGAAAATTTGACACAAACAGGACATATTGAAGGTAAGAGAGACAGAAGAAAGCAGCATATAACCTACTTAATGAGCTTGTGTAAATGGTTGGCTGAACAGGGATTAGAAGAGATAATGAAAAGACAAAATTTACTAAGAGCTACAAAAGACAGGAAATTGTGGAGAGCCATGATCGCTTATGTCCTGAATAGAAGAAGAAGAAAAACCATATGTATATGAATTGAAAATGAATTGATAAAGTGCAGAAAAATAGAAAGAAGCATAAAACTAAAATAAATAAATCTGTTGAGAACTAGAAGTCCTACCAGGATTTATTATTGATGAGCACAATCTTAACAACATAAGATATACTGTTTAATAAATAAGCAGAGTATTTACTCAAATACAAGCATCCACTAAAAATAACACATAAGTAATTAAAATCTGTCAGATTAATAAATGAAAATGCATCTTTTTGTTCAATATATATATATATATATATATATATATATATATATATATATATATATTGTGTGTATTTAGGCAGCATTTTTTCATTGATACATGTTTCATTAAATAATATAGACAAGTGTTGTCTATTTTATGTAAATTCTTTTCATATTGTCTGATAAGCTTAATAACATTATCATTAAATGAAGAAAGAAAATCACAATATTGATACATATTTTTTTAATCCAATCTAAGCTTTTGGCTTGCATAAGCCATTATCAAAGATGACAATTACAGTACAATATATTAAGCAATACACAAACAAGAATGTGATGATAGTCTGTTTCTGTTTACATGGATGATTTCCAAGCAACGATAAACGCTAGAAGCAAAAATTGCACTGCAGCTCATGACGTCACACATGACCATGCGAGAGTGAATTCAAGAAGTATCAAGTATGGGAACCAATGGCTTCTGTTACCAATTATAAACATTTAAGAATATTTGTGGAGATTTATTAGTTTATTTTGTTCAGGTTAGGTTTCAACTGTTTTATGTATATAGCTTCAACCAACATTAACCAACTCATTACTTCCTACCTTCCTAGTAAATATAGTGTTAAGTCAACATTAGAAGTAATCCAAATCCTAAAAAGGGAAAAACCCAACAATGAAATCATAGCTTCACTTGATGTTGAAAACTTATTTACCAATGTCCCTGTTAGTGAAACTATTGACATAATTATAAGAAATATATACAGTAACTCATCTTTACCCCCACTTAAAATTAATCCGAATATATTAAGAAAACTACTATTAGCTTGTACTACTGAAGTCCCTTTCTTCGATCATAATAATAATATATATATATATACAATGTGATGGTGTCTCCATGGGTTCAGTACTGGGTCCGACATTTAGCAATTTCTACATGTCAAACCTCGAAAATAAGATATTTACAGATTTTAAAAAACCATCCATCTACCTAAGATACGTTGATGATATTCTTATGTTAGTTAAAATACAGATGAAATACTTCAACTTCAAAAACGTTTCCAAAATAATTCTGTTCTTAAATTCACATATGAACTCAATACTAATAATAAAATCCCCTTCCTTGACATATTGATAAACACAAATAATAACAAATTTACTATTTTGCCATACAAAAAACCTACAAGCATAAATTCATGTACACTTAACTACAAGAGCGAATGCCCATATTACTACAAAATAGCAATTATAAAGAATCTAATACATCGAGCAGAAACTAATTCATCCACAAAACAGATTTTTTATAGTGAACTAAAGAATATAAAACAAACACTTATTAATAATAGCTTTCCAAACTATATAGTTGATGAACAAATAAGATGCTTTCTTAGAAATCTCAATACTAAGCAAATAGTACATAATACTGCTTCTACTAATCTCAAACATATTAATCTCCTATATCGTAATCAAATGCATACTAATTATAAACAAGATGAAAATATACTAAAAAAATTAGTAAACACTAATATATCTTCAACAGATCCTAGCAAAAAAATTAAGTTAATCATATACTACACTAAATCTAGTATATCCAACTCAATTATTCGCAATGATTCTTCTCCCCTGGTTAGCGATTTGCAAAAAACCAACATAGTTTACAAATTCAAGTTCCCTTTGGGAGATTGTATCTCCAACGAATTAAATAATATTTATGTTGGTCACACCACAAACTCGCTTTCACAGCACTTAACAGTACATTTGAATGAAAACTCTAACATTTTTAGGCATTTAAAACAACATGCCTGGCCACATACACAATTCCGTAAAATCCTTGTTGAAAACACAACTATACTTAAACATGAAAAAAATAAACAAAAACTAAAAATTCTTGAAGCTATATACATAAAACAGTTGAAACCTAACCTAAACAAAATAAACTAATAAATCTCCACAAATATTCTTAAATGTCTATAATTGGTAACAGAAGCCATTGGTTTCTACCAACGGCTTCCTATATTTAATACTTCTTGAATTCCCTCTTGCATGGTCATGTGTGACATCATGAGCTGCAGTGCTTGAAAATCATCCATGTAAACAGAAACAGACTATCACCACATTTTTGTGTGTGTATTGCTTAATATATTGTACTGTAATTGTCATCTTTGATAATGGCTTATGTAAGCCGAAAGCTTAGAATTGATTTAAAAATATGTATTAATATTGTGATAAAATGAATAGACAACACTTGTCTATCTAATTTAATGAAACATGTATGAATATATATATATATATATATATATATATATATAATTAATGTATATTTGGGCAGCGACCTTTCTTTTAAACATCTTTTATTAAATACAACAGACAAGGAAGATTTACTGAATTTTTATTTACTTTTTCCATCATTCTTATGTTTTTCCATTTTGTCGGAGTAAGGGAGTACAGAAATTTTCCATAATTTTCATTGTCTCAAGCACTTTCAGCCACTTTAGCCATTTTCAAGTGAGGTTTGTTTTTGGCATTGTTAGTTTTTCCTCATGTTTTGACTCTTTAAGTTGTATTTTAGTTTTGTGTTGTTTTGAATAGGAGGGTTTATTCCAAGGCTTCACATGTTAAGCATGGCTGGAATTTGTGTCAGCAACTTTCTATTTAAAAAAATAAAACAACTTTTAACTCACCATTTTCACTGTTGATTGTAGGAGAGAGATGTTTAATATACAAGGACTCTCTAATAGTGCATATATATATATATGTATATATATATATATATATATATATATATATGTTATATATATATATATATATATATATATATATATATATATATATTTATATTTAGTTTATGAAAAATAAGGTAAACTGTATGGGGAGACCCAAGGAGGATAAAATCCAGAGAGCTCAATGTAAATCCAGAGCAAATAATTTAAATAAAAACAGACCACTTTAAGGTTCCATGTAAAAAATTATATCACCAAATCTCTTTTAAAGGACTGCAGATCATCAGACTTTACTTCCAAAGGTTATATATATATATATATATATTTAGATATAGATATACAAATATAGATATAGATATATAGATATAGATATGCTATGATCAATGCAAATATTTTTATCAAGCATCTCAATGAGGTAGTGAATCAATAACAAAATTCAAAACTCTATCTTTTCCTTTGAAAAGTATCAAATGTTATTATATGTAATTTAATAATAATAATAATAATAATAATAACAATAATTATATTATTATTATTGTAGTTGTTGTTCTTATTTTTAGTGGGTACATGTGTTTGAGTTAATATTCCTCTCTTTTTATTTTCTTAAACAGTGAAATCAATAACAACTGGCCGAGATCAAGAAGGTCTGTTATCACTTTCATTGTTTAAGAAAATAAAAACAGGGGTAACAACACAAACATGTGTACCCACAAAAATAAATGTTTATATTAATAAGAAATAATGTCAAATAATAAATCTTTTCATATATATATATATATGCATGTGTGTGTGTGTATATAACTTTAGTGAAAATATTTGTAATACCTTATAAAAATAAAAAAATAAAAATATAACCTTTCATACGCCTATTATATTTGCATATTAGATAGATAGATAGATAGATAGATAGATAGATAGATAGATATGAATAAACCAAGACAGATGGAAATATAGACATACAGATAGATAGATAGATAGATAGATAGATAGATAGATAGATAGATATGAATAAACCAAGACAGATGGAAATATAGACATACAGATAGATAGATAGATAGATAGATAGATAGATAGATAGATAGATAGATATGAATAAACCAAGACAGATGGAAATATAGACATACAGATAGATAGATAGATAGATAGATAGATAGATAGATAGATAGATAGATAGATAGATAGATGAATATGAATAAACCAAGACAGATGGAAATATAGACATATAGATAGATAGATATATAGATAGATATATATATATATATATAAATAAGAAAGATAATATAACATATAGACTGATGATAGATAGATAGATAGATAGATAGATAGATATGAATAAACCAAGACAGATGGAAAGATAGACATGTGATATATATATATATATATATATATATATATATATATATATATAAATATATATATATATATATATATATGAGAAAGATAGATAGATGACTGTGATAGATATATAGATAGATAGATAGATAGATAGATGAGATAGATAACTGTGATAAAGAATGAGATAGATAGATAAATAGATAGATAGGGAAAAGAATAGATAGATAGATAGATAGATGGGAAAAGAATGAGATAGATAGGAAAAGAATGATAGATAGATAGATAGGGAAAAGAATAGATAGATGGAAAAGAATGAGATAGATAGATAGATAGATAGATAGATAGATAGATAGAAATCGAAGATAGATAGATAGATAGATAGAGAATGAGATAGATAGATAGATAGTGAAAGAATGATAGATAGATAGATAGATAGATAGTGAAAAGAATGAGATAGATAGATAGATAGATAGATAGATAGATAGATAGATAGATAGTGAAAAGAATGAGATAGATAGATAGATAGATAGATAGATAGATAGATAGATAGATAGATAGATAGATAGATAGATTTATTCATAAAGAACATTTTTAAGAAATAATATTTTTATAATTTTTCAATCTGCCGATTTGGGATTTTCAGCTTTCCCCATTGCAATGAATGTAACATAATTGACCACACAAAACAGCACTCACTCACTGAATAAATCAATCAGTTGGTCTTGTTGCACAAAATCCATTGATCTCTCAGATGTATCAAATAGAGCTTGTCCATTTAAAGTGAACACATCATGAATGAAACAGGAAAATAAGTCAACTCTTTGTCTGTGTCCTTGTTGAAAAGTATATGGCAACCATCCAGTAAGCTACCCATACTTTCAGATGTCTCATATTACAAAAACAACTGGACTAACTGCCAGCTGAGGAAAATTGACATAAAGCAGAAAAGATTTATCCATCCAAAGCCTGGATTCCTACTCAAAGGCCAAAATTCAAAATTAATCTGATACAGCATTTTATATGGCCAACTAAATGACAAATTAAAAAAAAAAAATTCCCTACATAATGTGAAAGGAGATATGTGAGGAAAGAAGATATTTTGTCACAAAACTAATAAATGTAAATATATTACAAAAAATGATATGTCACAAATCTAATATTGGAGATATGTCACAAAAATGTTAAAATGATTATGTCACAAAATACAATATGATGTTTGTCACAAAAAATACAATATGTCCAAAAATGATATGTAATAACATGATATATGTCACAAATCTAATATTGAGATGTCACCAAAACATGATATGTGGTACGGAAAAACATGATATGAATAACAAATGCAGGAACAGTCTTCCCAAGAATATACCAAATATTTACCTATTCTTTGTTTCAAAATGTTATGTATTTTAAGCTTCAACAGTAACAAATCTAATACTGGATATCTTCACAAAAAACATACAATATATGTCACAACATACAATATGTCACAAAGCTAATATTGGATATATGTCACAAATCTAATATTGGAGACATCACAAAACATGATATGTCATAAATCTAATACTGGTGATATTTCACAAAAATGTTATGTCGCAAATTTAATATTGGATATCTGTCACAAAATACAATATGTCACAAATCTAATATTGGAGATCTGTCACAAAACAATATTTTACAAATCTAATATTAAAGATCTGTCACAAAACATGATATGTCACAAATCTAATATTGGAGATCATTCACAAAACATGATATATCCCAAATCTAATATTGGAGATCTGTCAAAAACATGATATGTCACAAATCTAATAATGGAGATTTGTCAAGAAACTTATACTGATACAATGTGGAATATTTCTTACTGGATTTATTTTTAATTTGACATTTTTATTACTATGAATGTTATTTTTAGTGGATACCTATATTTGAAATAGACACCCTGTTCTTATTTTAAGCAGTGTGTATTAAACAGAGAGCAATAGAAATACCTCCCACATTTTAAACTGTCACCTGTGTTATGCTAATGAACTTAGGCAAGTGGCAATGGTATCTTCATCTAGCTAATGTCTTACCATTTTCTTCAGATATTATCAGTTCCCATTAGGGCTTGGACCAGTACACAGTATGTATTTGCTGATGAAATATTTCTAAGACTGGTGAATCTGTAATTGCAACCCAGAGAGTTTTTTTGTGCTCATTTCATGTTATGTCTGAATGATGCAGTTCTGTTAAGAAAATTGATAATCGTATGGGTTGAAAAACTTAGGGCAACACATTCAGTGCTTAAAAGAAGGCTATATGGAAGATCTCAAACTCCAAAAAAGATCTCAAACATGAAAGATCTCAAACTCCAAAAAAGATCTCAAACATGGAAGATCTCAAACTCCAAAAAAGATCTCAAACATGGAAGATCTCAAACTCCAGAAAATGTCTAGGCTGTAAGACAACCTGTTCTGCAATCTCCCCTACATGTTCAACCTGTAAACATATTTCTGCTCTGGGATTGTCTGATTGAGCATCCAGAAGAATTTTACACACTGATCTGAAGTTCTATCCATACAAATTAATGGTTGTTCAAGAACTGCAAGAACACTAGAAAAATCTGTGATGATATCCTTCAAAATGCTCCTGCAAATGCTGTTCTCACAAGTGATGAAGCTCACTTTCATCTCTCTGGCTGAATTTTTGTTACTGGGTCGAAAATAACCCTAGACAGCTTCATGAAAACCTCTACATAGTGAGCAAGTAATTGTGTGATGCACAGTTGCAAAATTTGGTGTATGGAGCTCTTACTCTACTGAGGAGGGAAACCACTTGGTTATAGTAACATCTGACCAGTATGTGGATATGCTGTGGAACCAAAACTTAGAGACCCCTTCGGAGTTTGGATATGTAGTCTCAACAAGATGGTGACACCACACACAGCGAGAAGATCAATGGAAGCTTTGAGAGAGATGTGTTGCGGATTTGAATCAATTCACAACAAAGACAAAGGCATGAAACGTTTTTAAATATAAATATAAAAATATAAATTATTTTTATTTTCATGATTTTACAATTAAATTTTTCTCAGTGTGTCAGTTCAGTCAGTTATGTGCCATGCGTTATACATGCTTAGGCGATCATATATCTTCTGATACATGACTGACGAGGCAGATTTTTTGCCATTTCTTTCTGCTGTAGACCAATTGCCATCCAAGGCTATAGAACCCAGTCTGTCCTGCTATTTACCCATAGCTGGGAGGAGGGGGAGAAGAGGATTCATACCTTTCACAAGGGTCAGTCAGTTATGTGCCATGCGTGAAACATGCTTAGGTGATCATGTATCTTTCCATACACGACTGACGAGGCAAATTTTTTTTTCTCACAGTAGGATGCCATTTCTTTCTTCGGTAGACCAATTGCCATCCAAGGTTATAGAACCCAGTCTGTCCTGCTATTTACCCATAGCTTGTGGGAGAAGAAGTGGATTCATACTTTTCCCAAAGGTATTAGCATGTAAGTGAATGTAATGGATTTGACTGGAATTTGAACTCGGCTCTCCGATTCCTAAATCCAAGCTGCTGTCCATTACTCCACCATGCCTCTTCAGCATGTATGTATTTCCTTGTTTTTAGTTGTTTGTTAAGATGAAAAGAAATGTGATTTCTTTGCATGTATGTGTGAAAAAAGAGGCAGAGGAGAAAGTGAGGAGGAAAATGTAAATGTCACATAGCTTGGCAAAGAAGATGGATGAATGAGTAAAGGAATCTTTTTGAAACTGTCATCGGGAACTGATGCTGTATGTATCTGTCTCTATCTCCTTACTGGCCTGTCTGGTCCATAAATTTTGCTTATATACTCTTCAAAGGGATCACAAAGCATGTTTTTATTGTTGGCAGGAACACAATCCATTGAAAAGTGTCAAATATTTATTTTCAAGCAATTAATTTATTAACAAGAAGGATGCGTGAACCTTCCAAGTAATAAACATTTTTTGTCATTTGATGTTAGACTATCTTGATGTTTATTTCTGTTTTGTTCTACAATTGTTTTTTAAAATATTTGATTTCCTTATGTGGTGACATTGGAAGACCTGCATGCTTGCTGGATCTTGTACCGTGCGATAATTTTCTCTGGGATTACTCAAAAGCTGAAGCCTACAAACATCAGCCACAAAGAATTAACAGTCCAGGAAGGCTCTATTTCCCTTTTAAGTATAGCATGTTTCCTCATTCATATTTTTCTTGAAAGCCATTGGGGCATCTATTTCAAATATGGGTCTCCACTAAAATTAAAAATAATGTCAGATTAAGAATAAATCCATTAAGAAATAGTTTTGTTTAAGTTTTGGATAAGAAACTGAGCAGATAATGGCTTTTGAGAAAAATCTGAATTTGTGAATGTGCTTTTTCTTCAAAAGGGAAAGTGAACCTTGCTGGGCTGTTTGCTCTCTGTGGCTGTGCTATTTCAGTCAGACCAGATCAAATGGTGGCTTCTCTAACAAAAGATCTGATCAAAAAGTATTGGGACTGGTGTTATAAAAAGTAAA